ATGATGGACAGTGGTACCACTTGTGTGTCACGTGGACATCAAGTTTAGGACATTGGCATGTATACAAGGATGGAAAAGCAGCAAGCGTAACGATTAAAGCTGAAACTGTTACAACTATCAGAGCAATACCAGGTGATTAAGAAATAATATGCTAAGGATGTTTATGCACAATGTGTGTCTTTGGCACCTCATATTTCTTTGCTTCATTTTATAATTAGATGGACCAACCATTACGACTACAAATGGATGCAGGTGTTTCGTTAGCACTCAGCTCGGGATACTTTGGAGGGGAGGGGAACAGTTGAGTTTAATCTAAAACTCTTACAGGGGTACTGAATAAATCCGTCTGCTGCATTAGTAAATGGATCTGATAAAATGTGATATTCGTACACATTCATTCAAAACTTCTGGAAATAAGCTGATGATATAAGAGATTGACAATAATAACCATGTTCTAAGTTGATCCCTCCGTGACTTATTTAAAGTTTCGTTTTTGACAGGCACTGGAAAAATCTCAATCAGCGCGATGGAGACAAGTCACAACCCTGAAATATTTGCCAAGATTGGCAACTTAAATATTTGGAGTTATTCCATGACAAAAGATGAAATAACTCATATGTCATATGGGTGTGGTAAAGATGACGGTGATTTATTATCTTGGGTGGTTGTAAGAAAGAAGATGAAGGGAAAATTTCAGGAGGAAAAGTCATCCATATGCAATCAACATAACGGTAAGCTAGAAACTAGCATTCATTTAGGGGTACACGTAAATGTATGTCGGACAAAATAGGTATACTTACACTACTAATTGCAATAGATTAAAAGTAAACCAGGAAAAATAAATTTCGCAGCATGTCCTCTCTGCTATGTATTAGGATTGATTGAAGTTATAAGGGACTTTAAGCAGTCAGGACGGCAACGCCACAGAAGACGTCGATTAAAAAATGAGCTTCTACTTTTAGTTAGAATTTCGAAAATGGCTGCATGTGTTTACCGTCCCATAGGGCGCCAGATCTCAAACTCAACATAATGCA